AAACTGACAGAAACAGCGAATAACAGCAGGGAGAAAACGTCAAGTTGGCATTAAGTTATCACTGCGATGTAGATTAAAAACAAATACTGTACCGTAACCAAAGCAAACCATTTCTTCTGCGTTCAACGTAAATTTCGAAATATCATTAATTGCTCGCCCATTAATGCATAATAAATTCCATTCGCCAATAATATTAATTATAATATAAATAACTTCAAAGACAAAATACAGTAGCCCAAATGTTCTAGGGTAGCTGCCACGAATGGTAGTATTTAATTCCGCCCGTAAAAATTACATTTCAATTCTGAATACTGGACTCCAAAAGGCAAAACCGCACCGCGCTTTCAGAAAAACGTTAGACTTGGTTCCAAGGAAGAATAAAAAGCCAGCAAGAAGACCTCAAAATTGAAGGTAGTATGAGCTGAAGAAATCTGTTGGATCAAGACGCATACAATCGCAAAAAAGAGAAGTTAGAGGAAAAGTCACAGAGAGGCCTTCATCCAACAGTGGATTAACAAATGGAAATGAAGGATGATGAAAGTTTGCTCTAAAATTACAATGGGCCAATTCTAGCAGGTAGTATTAATCGTAACTTAATCAAATTGACTTTATTACTAATTCAATAGGCGAAGCCTATAAAAAATAACTGTGGTTAGTATTCAAATTCTGTACCACCATAGAAACTAATAAAAACACTACCAGCGGATTCTTTTCTTTATCAGCCATATTTCGCACTTCGTTGTATAGTTTTGGTGATTGTATTGGTGCAATGTAAGAAACATAAGAGCATGGAATCGAAATTCCGTCATCTGAAACAAAAAATGTTATCCAAAATTTTTAATAGAAAGTTAAGAACTGACCCTTGAATAAATGTAAGGCACCATCTAAACACTCGGGCGACAACTCGTTGTCTCCAAACGAACCGAGTAACTCTGAAACGATGATATCCGCCTTGATCCCCGGATAGAAATCGCGCATGTCTGAGCACACAACCGTAACTCTGTTATCCCATTTTGTTTCGTTAAGTGAATTTAAACTAAACATAAGTACGCAATAATTAACAAATACTTGAGCAAATTAAATGAACAGGGCAAATGCGAAAAATTGTATCGACATAGAAACATACATATGACACAGTAGAAATCACTGCATCACAACTATTTGAAGTTTGAATGTGGATTATATATACAAGTGTTTGCAAGCTGCTAACTCTCTTATTAC